AGTTATGTACATCACTCCTTCATTCAAAGTGTGGATTGTTTATTAATTCTCCAGTTAGCCTGTTAATTGTACTGATGAGAAATATTTTTCCAATAATGTGTTTTTTTAAAAAAAAAATCTAAGATTTCATTTATTCTGATATGGGTACAGCAGTTGTGAACTTCATATCAATTTTATTTACCAAATTAAACAAACTAAAGATGGATTTTTCTACCACGTATAGCATTAACATCATTTTACACAGGTTGATCAGAAAAAGAAATGTAAACCTTTCCTATATATATGTGAAAATTGAATTGTAATTTCTATTAAAAGTATATTTTGTATTTTAGCTTATCCCAAATGCTGAAATCAAAAAGAAAATGACTTGAAACATAAAGCTATGTTTTAAAGATTTTAAGATGATACGGGCTAGATTTTATAAGTTAAATTGCTATATATTAAATGAATACCAGCTGACTGCTGAAAACATAATTTTCTCCTGGCTGTGGAAAAAGAGATATACTGCTTAGTTAAACCACAAGTATGTTTTTAATAATCAATTATTTTATTAACATGACTGTCTTATTTAATCTAAATCAAGTTCACATTTGGGAACATTTATAAAAGATGTTTTCAACAACTCCTCTACTAATAGAATAGAGTAAAAATAAAAATAAAACAAAGGAAAGGAAAATAGTTTATATACTGCCTGACTTTTTGTTGGCAGAATAATCAGGATATATATCATATCCACCCAAGGTTTCATTTCTATGGGGATGTCTTGCTTAAATTATGTTGAGGCATGATTTACTTGTATCATCATGCTGTGCAATAAAGATTTGATACCAGGAAACTGGCATATGCCCAATAGGAACATAACTGAATAATTGTTAACTAGGATACTTGCTGATTAGGAAATAGTGCATGCTGATATTGCTGCTGCAGCAATACTACCCTGTCATGAAGAAATGCCACCACATAAAGGGAATTGTAGAGGCAAGAAGCTAAGATGACCACAGAAGTCAATGAGACATGAATTTTCTTGAAATTGCAGCTGGCTAAACAAGCTTGTATTGGCCATTAGTGCTCTCAAAAGGCAATGGAAGTCTCTGTCATTCTGCTTCTTTCAGTTTAAATCAAATGGCCCATATGGAAGACTTTATTTGTGGTGTAGGTTCAAATCACCTGTCCCATTTTTTTTCGTGCATTCACTTTTGATTTTACAAAGTTTATGTTGTGATTCACAAGGAAGATATATACGCTGACTTTAAAGTGTAGGTTTAGTTCATTTAAAGGCACAAATGACAAATGTAAGATGGGGACACACAGCAATGCTCTTTAAAAGTCTTTTTGGTCTAAAGAATTTGCACCATTTTTGACCTTGGGGCGTATTGGTTTCTATCTATTTTCTCTTACTGGTTTCTATCTATTATCTATTTTCTCAAAATCTATTTTTCTCTCTGTCTTTCAGTATAGGGAAAGCTAACCTTTTTTTTATATATAGCCTACTTATACCTTTTCTATGATCCACACACAGAGAGCCTTTTTTCTGGCCCTGTTTCTTGTAACTCAGTGTTTTCAAGGCTAATATCCACATTAATTTACCAAGTTGGCATCCCATTGAATGGGGAAGGTGAAGCCCAAACCTTTCAAAGATAATCTTAGAGCCCTGGAAAATTGGAGGAAACTGCTTCCCCCATTCTAAGTTTTGTGTGCCTCTCTGGTTCTCTGGAACTGAGATTCGGTATTTATTTCAATTATATGTGGTTTAATTCAATTCAGTTACAAGGATGCACTCATTTTTATTTATCCAATATATACATTTTAATTTTGCTATTAAGATTCTGGTAAATTTTGGCCTGCTTTATATTTTTTCAGGCTATAGGAAAGGGACCCCCATAACCAAACTTTTGTGGTAAGCAAACAAACAGCTACTGCCACATCCATTATTCATACATCTGTACTTTCTTATCAGTCAGACTTAATAATTGTTGATAAGAGAGACAAAACAGTCTCTATGATTTCAAAACAAAATAAAAAGTTGCACAAGGTGAAATGTAGTCATTTTACCATCAAATTTAGGGGGCACAGTTTCAAGGTAATCAACATACAAATGAGGTTGTTTCTGCTTGTCTAATGCTGGTCTAAAACATATTTGGGCAGAGTTGTTGTTTTTTTGTTCTGATGTATCTAATTCATTATGTCTGGGAATAATTTCCCAAGCTTTTTTTCTAAACATATAACTGAATGCACAATTAGAAATGGTTTCATATGCTGTAAAATAAATTGTTGCTTTTAAAATGTATTTCCCTTGAACAAACTACATCCAACCTTAAGACTGATTTTTTTTTTTAAACTGTAAGTTATCATTCTCACTTTCCCAAAATGCTGGAAATGTTAAATCTTTAAAATAAGAATTTCAGAGGGAACTATTGACAGAGATTCTATCTAGATGCCCTTGATTATATATTTTATCATGTTTTTCAATCACTAAAATTTAAGAAACCGGTTAGTTTAGTATGTATTTCTACATATAGCTTACTTATATATATTCTGGATGTAATATGAAATTATGGCTGTTTAGAAACTTAAGTACAAGGTTGTAATTTAAGTAATATATTCTGATCCTTTTTAAACCACAAAAACTCAGTACAGAACCAGTGTGGTAGATGAATGGCAATAGAATCCTAAGATCCAATTATAATGCTTTGTGTTTATTCCTGACATATGAATAAAAATAAATAAATGTCACTTTTTGAAAGGAGGTTATTATATCAGAAATGAAAGGAAATACAAATTTTCCATATTTATCTGACAGTGTATATTCTGCTATACTCCAAACATTTATAATATATTAATACATTTGACGGGATAAAACTGTTGTATATCAATTTAAGACTATTTGCAGTATATAAAGCGTATTCACTCCATTAAGTCTTTGTGTCTATGCTTCGTCCTGTTTTTTGTTCTAGCTTTTATTGAATTCTGTGGTTCTTTATATAACAACATACCAAGTCTTGTACAAATGTTACTAATTAAAGTTATTTGGTCTTTTGAAGAATATTTTCCTTTAATTTAGGAGTAATTGATGTAAAGTAGTATGGTTAAGTGAATGTTATCACTTTTTTGTAATGCTTTAGGAAGTCAATGAGGTGAATCAAAATTAAACTATTTTAGTATCAAAGAAATCAATGAGGTAATTAAACCCATTAATTTCAGTGAGAATGAATTTAGACCATCTCAATGTTTGCATATTTAATCTTTATGTGGATTATAAAGCAACTGAAGTCTCACTGGCCTCAGATTTTTTTTTGAAAAAAAACCCCTTTATTAAAGATTTAAAAAATATAGATATAGATATAGATATTACTTTTTAGTAAGACACTACTTAGTCCAACTGGATATCATCTCAGGTGAATTTGTGTATGGAATAACCTCCTACTGAAACCATAGGATTTTTCAATGCTATTTATACTAACGGAGGTAATTTTTCTTCTTCTCACCATTGCATATACCATTCCTCTTGGTCTATGGTCATATAGGTTCATATCACGTTACTATTGCAGGAAAAATTTAGGAGGGAACCCTGTTTGCTGTCTTAAATTCCTATACAAAAGGCAGTATATAAATCAATAATAATATGTGCATTTTTAGTTTGTAAGTCTCTCTCTCTCTCTCCCTCCCTCCCTCCCTCCCTTTCTATCTCTCTCTCTCTCTTTCTCTCTCTCGTGTGCGTGTGTATAAATGAGTGATAACATCTGGATCAAGGTTCTTAAGAATTATAAAGCAATTATTAATGCTATTGTACTAACCAATTGTTAACATAGTATGTCATTTTATAAATTAAGAAAATCCATTCAGTTGCTTATGTTCTTTTTTTAAAAACAACAACTGGTAGACAAATACACAAATGCTTTTATTATATTAACATTTTCACTGAAAAAAATGTGACAGTTTTTCAGACACTTTGTAATAATTGGGATGTTAATTAATCTGTGTCATGCTTCTGGCAGCCAATAATCCTAGGTTTACTGATTCCCTAATAGGTTGGTTGTATAAGCTGCTGACAGAGGAATTCTCAGGATATTTCGTATTTGCACAGTAGAGATAGAAGTTGTGGATATCAATCATAATGGCCCAACATTGCAGCCATTTGATGTTATCCATCTCTATGAAAGTAAGAATGATTCTCATTTTATGCTTGGATTAATCATGGGAATAGTTTTTCTTTCAATTTATATTTTTGTTTAAATAGCAAGTTTAATTTCAGCAAATATTCTGTGAGATACTTCTAATACCTATGAGTATTCTATTTTGAACTATTTAAAATAAACCCACACAAAAATAATTCAATCTATTCCTTTAAATCCTTAATGGACATTTTGGCTTAAAACACACAAATCTGGAAATTAAGAATTGATTATTATTTATTATTCCTGGCTTTAGCTTTAATGTATGTTTTATATTTTGGGGGGGGAAAAAACCTACTGTGAAGCTAAGACTCCCAACTTTAAGAGAATATTAGAATACTCTTAATGTTGACAGAAGTAACAAAGTATGCTGTCTTGAGTTAGTGGAGGAAAACTGAAATCTAACTCAAATAGTAATAATGGTAGCTACTAATTTGGCAGGTTTTAAAAGTAGACTAGGTAAGAAAGAAAGGAGTACTCATGTTACTAAAATAAATGTTTTTTTTTTTTACTTTTCTTGAATCATGGGTACTGATTGCTGGAAATCAACAGTAAAAAGGGATTTTTATTTTCTTCTCCAGTTCTATGACTTTCCAAATGCATCCATTGGCTTCAATGTGACACAAAATATTGAATTAGAAGAGTCTTCGTCAAGGTCCAGAAGAGTTGTACTTATAGTTATATAAGAATAATTAAAGTAAACTCATCTAATATTCTGTGATCAGTACTGTAACAATTAAAAATGATTAAGTGTAAAAGTTAAGATTTCTATCTTGAAATAATTGTGCATGTGAATAACAAAGGTTTATGAATTGTATTGCCATAGCCATGGAATATCTGGAAGTCAAGCTACCAAGTGCAACATACATGGTGTTAGAATATATTATTTCCAACCCTATGCCCAGGTAATTTCGAATAGCCCATACATTTGTATCGTGGTTGTTGCAACATATATTGAATGAAATGTAATATTATTGTTATTCATTTTAGAATTAACTTTAAAATTTTCCTTACATCTATATAACTACATTCATTTGCAATGTAACACTTCAGTTTGTTACTAAATAATAGAATTAATGGTTGGCTTACATTATTCAAAACATGCGGAATGTTGAATCTCATTTTTAAGCATGATTATTGTAGGTACGTCAGTTGGATTCCTAGTGATACAAGTAGTTGCAGATGATACAGATTAGGTCCACCTCTTCACTGCAGTTTTGCTGAAGGCTATAATCATGGAAATAAATTTGCAATCGACCAACTGAAGGGAACAATTACACTGGTGAAGGCATTAGATTCGGAAATAAATACTCATCTAGAACTTTTTATCAACATTTCTGATTCTGCGCATCAAACCATCAAACGGCTTCAAATTCTTATATCTGATGTCAATGATAATCCTCCAGTATTTATTCAGGATGCCTATCAGGTAAGAAAAAGCAATGCCAGGATCAGTAATCTACTTTTTAAAATGATCAATATTTGAAATGCTATATTTTCTTTCCCTTTCTTTCAGGTGATTTTACCTGAATTTAGGTACATAGATGACTCTGTCTTGACCGTGCATGCCAAAGACAAAGATTCGGACCACAACGGAAAGATATTCTACAGAATGGTTTCTGTCTCTGGTACATTTTTTATTGATCCACAAAATGGTGAGCATGCACCAATTTGAACAACTCAAATTGGAGAAAGTCCTGTTCAAGGTATGCTGAGATACTCAATAGGTATTCTTTTCAAGCATACCTTAAATGTAGCTAAATATATTACTCATGACTTTAAGTAAGATTGGAAGGTACTAGAAGAAAGATTGCAATCATACAGTATGTATTTTACATTTGTATATCTATCCTTTGCCTATCAAGATCTATTCATCTTATTTTACTGTGACTTATTTCAATAACTTAATACATTTTAGGAATATCAGAATTTTTTTAATGATAAGAAATAAGAACTAATTAACATGTTATAACGATTTTCACAATAACTTCATATGTTTTCCATAGCCCTGAATTTACATGAGCTCCATTTTGTACATGGCTGTCTGGAATTGTCCTTTTATGTTGTATGTTGTCTTTTTTTTTAGTAGCACTTAAATTTTTTTGAAATGATGAGTTTTTCATCTTTGTGCAATATAGAAAGTGGAAAATATGAGTGTTAGTACTAAAAGTTTTTGCACAACATAATGCATGCTTTATTTTATTTTAGGTTCACTATTTCTTGTTAAGCCATTGAACCATCAGTTCAGTAATCCAGAGATCCATCTCCTTGTAGAAGCCAACGACCATGGAAATCCTCCTTTGACTGATAAGGCTCTGAATCCTTGCATTCCTCTGTTTACCCTGGCAACCTATAATTTTGCTATAAGTGAAAATGCTTCAGTTGGAGAGAACATGTTCACATTCTCAGTTAATGACCAAGGTAGAAATCATCAAGGCACCAGTGTTGGGTATTCCATCATTGGTGGCAATAATGGTAATAAATTCTATTTGAAAAAGCTTGTCTTTGGGCCAGAATATTTAGATCAAGCGATTGGAAATCTTGTTTCGAGAAACACCCTAGATTGAGAGAAGTGGTTCATCTTATAAGTTGTTAATTCTTGCTAATTCTTGTTAATTCTGATCACAGAGCTGCTCATCTAAATTCTACAACTACCGTGTCAATTGCCATTTTAGATGTTTAATGACAATCCACCTGTATTTACAAGTTTGGAATATCAAGTTCATGTCAGGGATGATTTTCCAGTTGGTAATTACATTACTTCAGTGTCAGCCTATGATTATGATGCTGGAACTACTGCAGATATCACATACAGTATTGTCTCTGGAAATGATAAAGGGCACTTCCAACTACAAGGTAAAACTGGCTCAATACAACCGATCAGAGCTCTAGATTACAAGGATGCTACATAATTCAACTTGACAGTTCAAGCTTCTGATGGAGGAATAGTTATAAGAAATGTGGCTTTTGCTGTTGTTTTAATTAGTGTCCTTGATGCTAATGATTATGTCCCCGTATTTGTTTTTCCAAGACTCAAATGAAAATATGCCTGCTTTTTCCTTTGTTTGCACAATTTCTGCCCTAGATTTTGATACTGGCTCATTTGGTTATCTTTCCTACTCTATCCAGTCATCTTGCTTGTCTAGTCATGATATCGTAGAGATCATAACCTGTTTATAATAGATTCTTTGTCTGGAAATATCCGCACCAAGCAGGTGCTTGACTTTCAACATCAGAGTAAGTACTGTTCCATTGCACAGGCAAAAGATAAAAGCAATAGCACAGCAACTGTTACTGTTCAGGTTAATGTTGAAGGATTAGATGAATTTGACCCTGTGTTCAACAAAGATGAATATTTCTTTTATTTTACCGACAAGAATGAAGCAGGGCAGTTGATTGGTGATGTCAAAGCATCAGACTGTGATGGTGGATTGGATGGTGTTGTTTATTATACTTCGTTAGAGCAATCTCCCTTCTTTTCGGTGAACTGTAGCAATGGATCTGTTTATTTGGCTAGATCTTTTCACACAAAAAAGAACCAGCATGAAGAAGAAAGGTGACACTTTTAAACCACTAATAAAAGCTCATAGTCCAAAACAGGATCCAAAGTTCAGGACCTGCACAGTTCTGATAATTTTTTCCAGTATCCCTGAGAGTTATCCCACATTGACAGCAGCTAACCTGTCTGTTAGCATTGCCATCTCTATCGTAGTATTTTTGTTTATTGCCATCTGCCTTGCTGTGCTTATTGGTAGATATGTACTAAAAGATTCCTGCAGGTGCAGCCTGAAGAAAGAGATGCCATGCCGCCCTGGTTATAGATCTAAGCATGCATAGACAAAAAATGTCATCTAAACTTTTCCAAAAGCCCCAAATCCGTGGCACAACTACTCTTCCTTTAGTGTGCATAGTTGATTGGCTAGGTTTGCTTGGCACCAGGGATAAGAGAAATCTTGATAGTGTTTGTGTACAATCCAACTCACATAGTCATGGATCAATAGAAGGGGAAATTGGAGAAGATGTGGAACTAAAAAAGGCCAATGAACCTCCTTGTAGGAAGGATACTAGATCTGCTTTCAGTGACAAATGCTCATTTATACCAGATTCGGGAATTCCAAGGGGTTCTGATCAGTTTTCATGTCAGTCTGGAGAAAATAAGATGATGTCCATTTCTCAAAGCATAAATGCTCTCCATTATTTCAGAGAATTACTCTGAAACAAAATGCTGTCCCACACACTTGCAAAAGTAACAGTTAAAGAAATTGAGATAATGACAGCTCTTCACAATGGGATATATTGTAGCACCTCATACCAAGGATCTTGTTACTATAGTAAACTCTGTTAAAGATCTTGGAGAGAATTATAACTGGAATAGTTTGCGGAACTGCGAAGCCAGCTTTAAGCCTCTTGCTTCTGTGTTCAGCGACATTGCAGAATTGCAGGATGAAAGTATTGAAATGCATACTTTTCCTAAAGGGAACAAATCTTACATTTTTCCTCCTCCTTTGCTTGCTTCTACAGCTCAACCTAATTTAAAGTCATTTTTCTCACAACTGCCAACTTCATTGCCAGATGTATTTTTTTAAAAAAATCTCCCCATTCACCTGATATCCATCATTTGAAATCTCCTTCAGCACTTATAACCCCAAATTTTTCACCTTGCCTAATCTCTGCTGACAAGGCAGACACCTACAACAACTCCAATTGCTTCATATCTTAATCTCAGCAGGTGAACTTTCAGCAGAGGAAGAAATGTAAGAACCGATGCAGTTAATTGATTTCAAATATAAAACAGACATTAGGCAATCTTTTTTTTAAAAAAAAATATTGTTTTTTAAGACAAACATAGACAAAACATAAAAACATCAAGCCATCTTTCATATATATACATACAGTGTGTCAGTTGGTTTACAATTTTTTTTTATGCTTCCATTTCGTAGTCTTCAATTACAATTACATTGTATATGTTTCTCATATTGTCAATCAAATATTAAATACATTAATATCATTGTTAATCATTTGACTATATTATTATTCATGTTTTATGAGATAATCCATATTTTACTTAATATGTTTTATGACAGTTCATATTGTCATCTCAAATCTATCCTACAATCATTTTGTAGATATAATAAGAAAAAAATACATCTTTATATACTTATTTTCTAAAGATCTACATATTTCATTACCATGTTTTATTGTCTAAACATTGATAGAATAGATTCCAAATTTTATAAAATTGTTTATCATCTTGTTCTCTGATTTCAAATGTCAATCTACTCATTTCAGCACATTCCAATATTTTCTTAATGATTTCCTCCTGTAATGGTATTTTCTCATTTTTCCAGTTTTTCACAAATACAATCCTAGCTGCTGTTAATACATTTACAATCAGATATTTCAATTCTTTACTATGTATTTCAGGTAAAATTCCCAATAAAAATATTTCTGGTTTCAAATCTATATGCTTTTTTGTCATTTTTTCCAACCACGTATGGATTTTAGTCCAATATTTTTTGGCGTCCGCACAAGTCCACCACATATGGTAATATGAGCCAGGTGTCTGATGACATTTCCAACATTTTTCAGATTTGTTCTTGAACATTGTTGCTATTCTTGTTGGGGGAAAATGCCACCTGTAAAACATCTTATACAAATTTTCTTTATATGCTGTTGACATTGTCATTTTGTAATTTTGAGATCACAATTTTTGCCATTTCTCTAGATCAATCCCATATCCAAATTCTTCCCCCAAGCAATCATAGTTTCTTTAACTTGTTCTTCTTCTAGTTTAATTTCTAATAAATATCCATGCAATTTTTTAATCACCTTTTCATCAGTACCTGTCAAAATCTTATCTCAGTCAGTTATCATAGAAACCTTCTGTTTTAGAATCTTTGTCATACCTTGAATGTATTTACGCATTTGAAAACCAATTCATCTTTATACCTTGTTCCTCTAATTTTGCATAGATTTAAGTTCACCCTTTTCATTCAATATTTCACCATATCTAACTGTTTGTTCCTTTTTATATATTATAGGATAGGAAAATGCTTCAATAGTTGATAACCAGACCGGAAATTTCAAATAACATTGCCTTTTAGTCTTCTCCCAGTTTAACCACAGAGACTCCCATATAACAATAAAGATGGCGGCGCCCAACTAGGAAGGTGAAGCTCTCACTCCTGGAGCACTATCTCCCTATAAAGCCACCACCTGAACCAGAAATCACTTTTAAAGCTGCTGCTTGCACCAGTAACCGTGAGTAAACCTGATCCCAAAAAACAAGCCCAAAAACGCTGGATTCTGAAGCTGTGGAGCCCAAATAATACTAGCATAGCTCCTGCTAATTGATCCGGAGTCCTCCTCTCCCTCCCCAGAGAAGTGAAGCTCTTCCATCGAGCCTATTAACCACACTGGTGGAGCTCTTGAACTGGATCACTTGGAGCCCAAGGAATGCAAACAACGTACCTTCATTTAAATCCCTCACACAGCTGATAGAAGTATCTTCCACGCCAGACAACGCGTTTCCATTAATTTCCCCCCCCACAGTTTCCCCGGAGCCACATCGGACAGCTGGCAGGGAGAAACAAGGAGGGAGGAGAAAGCCCCGAGGCTCTTAGGAGCCAAAAGTTACCCTGAACGGCAGAGGAAGGCTTCAGTTGTTGAGAGGAGAGAACAGGCTCCTTGACTGACACAAAGAAAACCCCTCCATCCGAACTAAAAGGAGAATTGCCTGCATAGCTAAATCAAAATCAGTAAGTCAGCTAAGACAGAAGTGAAAAGAAAGGAAAGATCTTGTAACAGCGTGCTTAGTCTTGGTTAGAAGCACTCAAATTTCTACAGTGGAATTTTCCTCGGAAAGTGGGACTCAAAGGAGGAAAATAACTGTGATTAATGATCTGGAGTGACTGTCAGATTTAGTAAAAAAAAGGTATTGCAACTAGAAGTAACTTTAAAAGTAAAGGACAGATTGGATTAGTTAACCCAAATCTCTGGACTGTATTATTTTTTTATTTTTTTAGTACTATTCAACTTGAAGAAAACTATTACAAAACAATCTTATTCAGAGACACACTGATTGTAGTTAAAGTGTTTTAATTCAGAGAGTTTTGCTCTCTTTCAAAAACCCAGCGTGCTTTGAACATCCTGTTACAGCCTTTTGTTTACAGAGCAATAACAGCAGCATTCAGAGCAATAAATTCCTCTTACCCAGTCTATCACAGCTGCTAGAAAAACAAACAACCCTTTCCTTAAAGACTCTCAATACTACCTCATTACTTTAATCAAACACCCATTAATTCATTACCTCAAAACTTACAACTTTTCTACCTCATCATCTACATCAATGATTAGATAATCAATTTCTATAAAATATTTTATTAATGGTTTAATTGATTTATTGTATTAATTGATTATTGTGATTAGAGTGTTTAGTGCAAAGAGTGTGATTATTGACTAGTTTTAAAGATCAAGATTCATGTAATTTAATTGATTAGTAAAATCAGTGATTTAGTGAATTTAATTGAACAGTGTGACTAATGATTAGTGTAATTAATTGATTAGTAGTTAGTGTAATTAATTGATTAGGTTGATTGTTGCTTAGGAAATTATCTGACTAGAGAGATTACTGCAATTGATTGATTGGTGTGATATTGGCTATATTGATTACCCAAAATTGTTCCATTAATTAATTCAATCAACGTACTATCTTAACAAACCTACCATGCCAAGAAAAAAATCCAATGCCAAACCACAACCTAAAGAGAATTTAATCCCCAACAATGAACCACAAGACTCCTGCACATGCCTTAAATGCTACAAAACTCTAAAGGATAATGAAAACTCCATCAAATGTTCTCTGTGTAACAAATACGCTCATCATGACTGCTTGGGATTACCCAAGCAATTGATTCAATACCTAAAATCATCCAATGAGTTTCCATTTCTCTGCAATTCATGCAGACCCATACTGGATCTGTTGGAAAGAGTCGATACCATTGAAACACGATTAACATCCCTTGACACCAAAGTAGCATCCCTGGACGCCTTAATAGAAAGATTATCCAACCTCAAAAAAAAAGACACAATGCAAAAACCTGAACACCCAATAGCTACAAACCATATCTCTACTCAACAACCACAACCCAATCCACAAAAAAACATAACCCAGACAAATATTGATATCCCAATCCTCATCAGAGAGGCTGTTGAGCGTGAACGGAAACGTCCAAACGCCATCTTATTTGGTCTAGAGGGCATCAATGAAAATGATGACATCACAACTGTCCGAAACATCATCAGTGATTATCAAGCATCAACCATCTCCCCTGACGAAATACTTGACATTTCCCGCATTGGCCGAGAGCTCAAAAACAGTGACGGCTCTGTGACCCCACGCTTCTGCAGGGTCATTTGCAAAAATGAATCAAGCAAACGCAAATTCATTTACACTATAAATTCACTCGCCAAAACCAACACCAACCATAAGAACCTCCGTTGTCGCCCTGACCTAACCATACAGCAACGTGCCCGCTCCCGTGTACTCCGCACTGAACTCAAAAAACGTCTCGACAATGGGGAGAAGGACCTGTACATTGACTACCATGCTGACTGTATCAAAAGTAAGTCACACATCCCACAACTCAGCTTTAACCTTCAACCACAACCCTACCTCAACCAATCCACCATCACCCAAGACTAGGCATGCACGCCCCTAACTACCTCAACTCCAACTACTGCTGGCCTTAAATGCAAGCTACTCAATGCAAGAAGCCTTGTAAATAAAATACCTGAATTTTTCCTCCTACTAAATATGGCTAAATTCGACATTATATTTGTCTGTGAAACATGGCTCAATGCATCTCTCCCCGACTCCATTACCACAGTAAGAGACTATCATGTTTACCGATCAGATCGTGAAATTCGTAGAGGAGGTGGTGTTGCTATCTTCTACAAAAAGTCCTTACATCTAAAAAATATCCAAGTTACCCAGGAGCTTGCTCTTCCTGAGACCATTATCTGTGAACTGTCCTTAAATATCACAATTCGATTCTTACTATGTTACAGAGCACCTGATTATGACATTGAACATGTAAACAAGCTAAATACACTACTAACATGGGCAGCATCCTGCCCATACCCTTTTATCTTTCTTGGTGATTTCAATCTGCCTCATATTGACTGGACCCTAAATGAATGTACAACTGAAACCATACATGCAACCTTTTACAATGCTGTTACAAATCTGGGACTGGAACAGCTAGTATCCAACAACACTAGACTAAACAACTGCCTCGATCTCATCTTCTGCAATAGTTTGAATTTAATTTATGGAATACAAACTAAAGAACCCTTTTCCAGCAGTGACCACAATATGATTGACTTTTGTCTAAACATACGTCCACACAAAAAACACCACAATGATGTGATCCCCAATTATAATTTCA